GTGTGGATCCATGGATCTCTGTGTGGGTCCATGGATCTCTGTATAAGCCTGTGGGTCTCTACGTGAGTCTGTGTCTGTTATGCCAGTGTAGCGGCGAGTTATAATTAATCCCTGGGTATACCACGACCACCACCGCCACCACCTCTTCCAGTCGCAAAGAGCACCGTCGTCATGCTCGGTCATTCACCACACCACCAGATCACCTACTCACTGACCCACTCACCTACTCGCCCACCCGCCCGCTCACCCGCCCGCTCACCCGCCCGCTCACCCGCCCGCTCACCCGCCCGCTCACCCGCCCGCTCACCCACTCTCTGGTGCTGCTCTCCGCAGTGAAAGTGCCCAGGGCCCTGGCACAAGGAATGGAATGGGGCCCTCCCCTATTAGACCCTCGCCCCTCTTGGTAACTGGGTTCCTCCTGCCCGTCAGTTCTGGTGCAGTTACACCGCCTGTACACTCCATAGCCACGCCACTTTATTGACCCGCAAACTCAAAGATTCCTCTGGACGTGCACACGTAGAGGCATGTAGACTCACGTGAAGGACTAGACTAACATAGAGACCGAAGGACTTTCATAGTGATCCACAGACTCATATAGAGACCCATAGACCTGTTTAGTCACTGTGACTCGTATGGAGACCCTCCAACTCACATAGACACCCAGTAGCCTGGTGTGGTTGGCATGGTTACTGGTACGAGGAATGAAATGGGGGGACTCCCCCCCCATCCAAATGTGGCCCCTCTCTTCATAGGCCCCGGTGCAGTTGCAGCGCCAGTGGACTCGCTCGCTCGCTCGCTACTCCACAGGACGACGCGGGGGACTGGGGACACGGGGGAAGCTGGAACTCGGAAGATAATTTTTAGCGATGCTCATTAAGAGCGAGGAGTGTAGGGGGCGCGTGGGAGGTGCAGGGGGCGCGGGGGGTGGCGGGGCGGGGGGGCTGATTGAGACTCGTAGTCTCCCCGGACCCCCACTCTGTGGAGCAGATTTCCACGGTGCAGACGGACGATCTTGCATGCGTCTCTTTTGCAGAAGCACCCCCCGAGCCTGTAGACACGCGTTGTGCGCGAGTGTTTTCTCTCCAATTTGCCCGTAAACTTGAGGATAAGTTCAAATAATAAATAGGCAGATGCCGATAAGCAAACAAAGCCTGCAGGTTTTGCTTTGGTATTCATGATTTTTAAAAATACCCTCGTTCTTTATTTGTTTTTATCATTACCAATTTATTTATTTATTTCTGCCGCTGCCACCGCTGCTGCCGCCGCTGCTGTTGTTGTGATAACGGAGCGGAGAGCGACAGGCGTGGTCCCACCGAGCGAACCGCGAGCCTCCAGGGTGCGCTTTGAAGATGCGGCCAAAGATGAGCGGAGGAGATTAGACCGACTCCTCGTCATCATCGGCGGCAGCATCAGCCGCGCTCTACCTGCTGCTGGATGAAGGCCGAAATTCACCATTGCCACCCTCTAGAGTCCTGCGGTGGATTTAATTGCCGCGCTTTTGGTGACTGTTTGATCGGTTGAACCGCTTTTCCCCGAGGGCTGGGTTCCGAGCAGCAACGCATCGTTCCGTGGAAACCCAACGGAGCCATCTTCACGCGAGCCACGAACGCTCCCAACCGTGGTCAGAGAGCGTGACAGAACGAAAGCACTCGGACCATCATCACTCCCTCCGGGGTACCTTGTGGGGAAGAGAACAGTGGTTGTCCTCATGAATGTAGAATGTTCACCGCTGGCTCCGGCCTGTAAAGACGAGATGAGCTGCGATGCCTCAATGAAGCTTTGAGCAGCAGGAGGCCGCTCGGCGGGCAGAGTGGCGCCCCAGCGACACTCGCGCCTCTCAGCAGAAAGTGTCTGGGTTCGATTCCCGACTCGGGCGCCTCTCTGCGTGGAGTCTGGATTCTCTGTCCCCATTCTGCGTGGGTTTCCTCCGCGTTCTCCGGTCAGCACACAATGTAACCGCTATTGCATTGGCCAAAAACATCCCAGTGCTGAAGACCTCAAAATGAGATCGCACACCAAGCAGCAATCTTCCGTCCCCCTCCCCACTGTGAAAACTGGCCAAGACCCTCCTGAAAAGGAGTCTTGAGACTGGGTGTGGCTTCGCTGAGTAAACGAGCTTCTAGATGACGGTGATAATTAGCCGGGCTCGAGGTGGCACGGCTCGTTCGGGGCGACTGGAGAAGGCAGCTCGTCGGCCGTGACCTTGGCGGTGGGCCGCGTGGTGCAGGTGCACCCCACGCACCTCCCCCCCACACCCCCCACCCAGAGAGCTCCCGAGAGAGCGACGCGCAAATCACGGGCGCCGTGAAGGAGACGGCGGCCGTGACGATCGGCATAAGCGGCTTTTTTTTCGGTGGTGGTGGTGATGGGCGGAGGGGGGGGTAGAAGGTGGGAGTGGGGGTGGGGCAGGCCGTGAAGAACCGTGCCTCTGCAAGTGCCACAGGGAATGACGTGGTGGCAGTACAGCATGTAGGTTGCTGAGCTATCGTGCCTGGGTGGACGCTTGAGTGTGACCGTCTCGTGTTCTCAGCTATGTTGGGGGCGGTCAGGGCCAGGTCGGACATCGCTCGCTGCTGACATTAGCTGTGGCCAGGAATTGATATCGGTGCTCTCACCATTGTGTCACCGCTCAACCCGAAATCAAAGGCGTGATCATTGTAACAATCAGCCAGCAGCAATCCCGGCAGGCCCCCGCTAGGCCTCGGTGAGGTCCCGTAAAACTTTCCAGTTGGCCGCAGCGCCAGAAGCTAACAAGTCCTCCCCGCACCGATGTGAATGAACGGCGGCGGAAATGAAAAGCCGATTGTTTTATAATCCGGTGATGTCACGCCGAGGAAGAGAGTGCGGGGCACATGAGGCCGAAGGGAGATAAGGAGCACAATTCTTTTTTTCCGCAGAACGGAATTTCGTTGAGAAAATGATGAGCCCAGCGCGAATAAATAAAAACAACGACAATTATGAAAACATAATCAGGAAGATAAGGGCAGCCGCAGTGAGAATAGAGCCATCTCTCTCGGGACTTGTAAACCCAACTACTGTGGGAATACTATAAATTAATAATCTACAAGCGCCGGGACATGCACACATGCAAATTCTCCCAAATTTACCTCCAGAGACGAATATAATGGCATACAAACGCACGCAGATTTATTTATGCACGTACACGCACACACACATACGTGTGCATACCACCACGGGCATCCCTTTCACTTCTACAGACACGCGCTCACACAAAACTAAACGCACACACACACATACAAACCCCTCTAGAGACGAGACAAAGATCCTCGCTTAGCCTGAACACACACACAGGAGGAGGAGGGTGCTGTGGCCAGGATCACGCCCGGTGAACCTTTTTCTCTACAAGTACTCATGTTTACAAGTACTCATGTCTACAAGTACTCATTTAAGTCGAGACTTAAACCTTTCGTGACTGCAGGAATTCATATTCTTCGGGTCTTTCGGTAAAGCCACATAGATAGAAAAATAATACAAAAAAATATTACGACGTTTCCATCGCAACGCAAGCAATCGTCATCAGGTGAAAAAAGTGCAGCAATCGTGAAAACATTTACATTATTTCACCTGATGACGATTCATTTGCGTTGCGATCGAAACGTCATGATATTTTTATTATTTTGTCTATCTACGTGGTTTTACCGAAAGACCCGAAGAAGATTAATTTAAGGCCGAGTTGAAGTTCGGATAATTCGTCACTGATGTTGGGCCATGAGCGGCAATCGAACTCGGGTTGCTGGGTTCGTGGTGGAGCGCGCTAACCGGGACGCCGCCGCATATTTACCTACGCCATCGCCTGCACGTTACACGCTGCGCCTGAAACCTCCACACCCGCGGAACGGTCGAGCCAATTATTCCGTGAACAGCCACGGGAGCACGACGGGTCGTGGGGTGGGGGCCGATGGTAGGGGCCTGGGAGATGGTAGGGGCCTGGGCCATGGTAGGGGCCTGGGCGTGGGCGTTGCCGCCTCCTCGCCCCCCACCCAGGCGTCGCGTCTGCCGCGGCGGAGCGCTCGCCGAAGGTCGCTAATGATCGCGCGCCACGACGGCACGAGACAAGGGGGACAAAACGAGAACCGATGGGGGGGGGGGGGGGGCTCGCGATGACGGAGCGGGGGGGGGAGTGGGGTTTGGGGGGCGGGGGGTGGCGTGGGGTGCGCGGTGGCGAATCAGATGCAATCTGGCAGTTGAAAGGGAATTGGTCAAGGAGCCCAGAGGAAGAACCCTCAAGAGAATCAGAGCGGCTGGATACGTGAAGCATGGTGGCATTCCTCTTACCGGGGGGCAGCGACGGAGCGGTGGTTTCATGAATAAAAATAAAATTATAAATGTCTGGTAACAATAGAGTGCAAGTTTGGCACTAACAGCGCCCGTGGTGGTGGTGGTGGTGGCAGACCCTTTGTTCGTCTCTCCCGCTCACAGAGATCACCGCAGCAAGGACAACCAGACGGGCCAATCCACAGAGACGACAAACAATAGCCACGTGACGAGCGATGGGGCGACGGCCTACGCACGTGAGCGTGCCTCGGGCCGAGTGACTACAATGAGCGAATGTTACGCGCACCGCTTGACCCCTCCTCACGAGCCACCGCTTAGAGAGATGGCGGCGTGCGGTCGCAAGGCGGAACGCGCGACCCGTGGGCACAACGGGGGGTTGGGGGTCTCGTGCGGAGCCCGGAGCGGACGTCTCGCTCGACGGTGCCACCACCCGAGGAGGTGGCGTCGCTTTGGGGGTGGGGGGTTCCAATGTCCCCGCGTGGCCAATACATTCGACTCGGAGGCCGCGTCGCGCCCCCCCGCCCATCAAATACGGGCGCCGCGCGGGGATGGCGAGCGCGGGGACGAGAGGGGCGGCGCTGTCCGGTTGACGCCGTTGATGTCGCGGAGGTGGAGGGGACGAGAAGGAGAAGAGGTGGCGGCTGTATGGATCGAGGGGAGGGGAGGAGCGAAGAAAGGGAGAGGAAAGGCCGGGGGGCTCTCACCTGGCCCTCGGAGAGCACGTAGATGAAGCGCTCGTCCACAGCGAAGGCCATGTCCCGCAGCAGCAGGCTGCCCGGCACCACGGGCACCACCTCGTACTGGCGCGCTCCCTCGGGACGCCCATCCACGCGCAGCTGCGCACGCAGCACAAAGAGATCGCGGCGTCAGCCTCGTCAAACTCGACGGCGGGTGGCACGGTGGGGGGCACAGCGGGGGGCACAGCAGGGGGGCACGGCGGGGGGCACGGCGGGGGGCACAGTGGGGGGCACGGCGGGGGGCACGGCGGGGGGCACGGCGGGGGGCACAGCGAGATGGCACACACGCCCCGCACTCTCGGGTGCCGTGATTAAACCCAGTTTCGGAGCACGGGAACAAAGGCCCACAAAGTCAAGCAGTCACGAACGGCACGATAGACGTTGTCATGGACGAGGAGTGCAACACGTTTCGTGAGTTGAGCCAAGTTATTGTTGTTGTTATTGTTGTTGTAAGAGATTTGGGAAAGAGATGACGATGGGAGGAGTTAGTTCCACGGTGGAGCAGTGCGAAGAAAGAAGCATAAAGAGGGGCGGTGTGGCCTGCAGTGTGGCGAGTGAGTGCGTGCGTGAGTGAGTGAGTGGGTGAGTGAGTGAGTGCGTGAGTGAGTGGTTGAGTGAGTGGGTGAGTACGTGAGTGAGTGGGTGGGTAAGTGAGTGGGTGAGTGAGTAGGTGAATGAGTGAGTGAGTGAGTGGGTGAGTGCGTGCGTGCGTGAGTGAGTGAGTGAGTGGATGAGTGAGTTGTGACCTGCAGTTTGGTGGTGGGTGAACACAGTGTGAGGGATGAGACGAAACAGTCAATGTCTGGTCAACCAAGTCCTCCACACGGGTGAATGAATCAATGAGTAAAGTTTGTGGGAACAGTAACCATGGTAGTAGTAGCAGGAGCTATAGAAGAGTGATAGAGAAGAGTGATACTGGTGTATGGGGTAACTGGGTTGAATCGATGAGTGCTGGACCATTAATCATCCCGAATGATTCACTCTGAATTCTATCCGGTGCAGTGAAGTCGGCCTCGGGTGCTCCAGCCCAGACACAGCAGCAGCACCACTGGCGTCGATGAGGTCGCTAACAGAAATCTCACAAGCAGTTCTGTGATGTCTGCTTCCACGTGCCATTCTCTAACACTGTGCTATGCACGGCCAACAGCGGTGGTGAGGTGCTATCGGAACCGGTGCTGGCCTCCACCAACCTGCACACACTGACCAGCGTGGTGAAGTATGGCTGAACAACCCTCACGACCGACACAGCACGAGGAGGCCTTCATCCCGCGGCGAGCGGACTGACAAGAAACCGCAAGGGGTGTTTACCATTATTTAATTATTAATACGTTGAGCCACCTGTGAATCTGCGTAAAAAGATGAAGCGAGCAATCCGGTTCAGAGTTTGTTGACATAACTGCCGCCGGCTTGCGCGAGTCTGGATGGCGTCGCGCCGTGCGTGCGGACGAGAAGAAGGGGAAGTGCGAGGGGGCTCGCGGCGTGCCGGTGAGACGTGCCGGTGAGGCGAGCCGGTGAGGCGTGCCGGTGAGGCGAGCCGGTGAGGCGAGCCGGTGAGGCGAGCCGGTGAGGCGTGCCGGTGAGGCGTGCCGGTGAGGCGTGCCGGTGAGGCGAGCCGGTGAGGCGTGCCGGTGAGGCGTGCCGGTGAGGCGTGCCGGTGAGGCGAGCCGGTGAGGCGTGCCGGTGAGGCGAGCCGGTGAGGCGTGCCGGTGAGGCGTGCCGGTGAGGCGTGCCGGTGAGGCGAGCCGGTGAGGCGTGCCGGTGAGGCGAGCCGGTGAGGCGAGCCGGTGAGGCGAGCATCGCCAAAGCGACGTCACCAAAGCAGGCGGCAAACATCGCAGCTGCTGCCTTCATCCCGGAGCAACACGTGCGCGCTTCCCGTCACACAATTTCGCTTTTGTTCATGGCGTCCAAGGCGCGCGCGCGTCTATACCTCTATAAAATGAGTTAATTACCAGAATGCCAGTTCAGTAGCAAAATAAAAAAAACCCAAATGGATTGTGATGCCTCTGACGGTCGCACCTTCCCCCGGCAGGAGGGGCGGGAGCGGCGTTCATCCCCCGAGAGTCGTGCCACCCAAGCTCCCCACCCCGCACCCCCATAGCCCCCCATCTCCCGAGCCCCCCTCTAGCCCCCCACGCACGCCGGGACAACCACGTCGCTCCCCCGCTGGTGCGGGCGGATCACGTGTTTATCGTCAAGTTGTTCTCGGAAAAAAAAAATCCCGATTTTATTCCAGTCACGGGGGATGGAGATGTCCAATCGGGGCACTCGGAGTAAGCGGCGCGGTGCGCCCGTGTTCGACAAGGGCCCGTGGAAATGGATATCACAGAGCTGCTTCCCAGATCCAAAACTAGGCGCGCTGCAATCTCCTGCTAACGTAGTGCAATGGAGATGGCCGTCGCATGACGGTCAAACTGGTGCTTTTAATTCTCCGAGCTGGAATTTATCCAAATTTAGTGCAGAACCAAATTAAATTTCACGGGTTTGTTGTTGTATTGTATGCATTCATTGGTAACTGAACTGAGACCATGAACTCGCAATACTGTGAATACTGTACCCGCTTTAAAATCATTGCTCTGTGGTTGGGTGGCTGAAACCCGGACACGAACCCAGGTCCCCCATGGGTGCCGGTTCAGCGTCTTTGACCTCCGAGCCACCCGGCCTCCCCCGACTCAAGTCTCCTCTCGTGAGAGCTTCCCCGGGCGCTGACAGCCGACCTTTTTATGTGAGGCTTAATAAACTAATTTCTCGGAACAAATCTCAGCCCGGGGACACTGAACGCGCTGGCTCGCCATTTGACTCCGTGGCAATTGACGCAGTCATCCGAGCTCTCACAGAACCAAGGGTGAAATTAAAGATTTATCTAACAATAACAAAAGCCGCTTTCAAAAATGAAACCGCTATCGTAATTGCTATCTATTTATCTCTATAAAATTCAACGCGCGATTGTAATTTCTGTGAACTCATGTCGCCACCTCCGTTGCGACACGGGAGGAGGAAGAGGAGGAGGGGGTCCCACAGAATGGGACGAGAGCCGTGGCGGCGGTGGCAGTGGCGGTGCTGGTGGTGGTGTAGATTGCATCGTGTTGAGCGCTGCCCTTTATCGCCATCGTCATCACTGCTACATCACTACTTCCCAACCTGCAAAGCGCGCGACCTTTAATGCCGGCCGGGTCAACTGCCCCTCCCCACGACTGTGGGTACAGGTGTGGCTGGGCACCGCGAGTTGTGCGTACATCCATCCCTCCATCCATTGCGCGCGTGACCCCCGACGCCCACGACGCCCACGTCCCGCGAGGCCGACCTGGCGGCTGCCCTTCCCCGCGCGGCCCCCGTGTCCGCCACAGCCCATCCTGCGTCACCCCGCTTCAGAACCTCCGCGGCAGGGGAGGAGCCGTCCTACTATTTGTGTCGCAATTAGGGCGATTATTATTCTTGTTGTTGTTATTGCTGCTGCCGCTGCTGCTGTTTGGTGACGGAGGGTTTCCTGCCCAGAGCGGTGAGCGCACGGTCGGTATTTATAGCGCATCGACAAACACGACGCTCCCAGGATGCACTGCGCCGGGGATGGAATTAAACGGCGAGGTGTCCCCTCGTGGGGCGCTGCCCGTTGACAGCGCGGCCGGTGGTCATAGCCCCTCGAGCCGGTGGTGGAAATTCCATATTCCCATGGTGGGTGCCAGTCATTCCGGAGAATTACCCAATTGCTGTCTTCTCACAAAGTTGTACTTATTTTAGATAGTTCACAAAAGATGATGTTGGATTGGTAACCCACTACCGGTAATTTAATTGGCGAGATTTTGATTGCGAGTCAAGCGCTGTAATCACAGCAAGAGAAACCAAGAGCTTTCACCGGAGCAATGATAGGCACGATGATGGAGACGACGATGGATTGATATAGTAGACGAGGGGGGTGGCAGCTGACATGGGCACTGCACAACAAAATAACGCGATAAGGCCAATGGTGACACTTGTGCGAAATTCACATCTACACACACACGTGCACCTCTCATACGCGCACGTGCACTTTTCATACACGCACGCACGCGCGCGACCACACAACTGTTCCGCATTAGACCCCCACCGCCCCTCCTCCCCCACTAAACTGATCCCTCTGGGAAGAGGATCGCTTTTGTTCCCCTTCTCCGCCGACAGCTCCTCCCCGGGGGCCCGGTGTCGCGCGCGCGCCTCGTTTCCCGTGGCACGGCTCGGCGCGCCATCCATCACGGCGGCACCACCGTGGCGGCACCGGGAGGCGAGCGCCGCTTCGACGCCCGGGCGCCATCATCGTCATCGTCGTCACCGCGCCGAGCTCGGCGGAGCGTGGGAAGAAGGGGAGAGAGCGCCCGGCCTCGCCAGCTCGCGATGGCTGGCACCGCGACACTGCCGGGAGGGATTTCACTTCGGTGTCACCGGAGGTGGCGGCACGTGGCTCGTAGCCGCAGGCCACAGTTTTACTGGACGGGGTGTGCCGGGTGCAGACACGCGGGGCTGTGTGGGTACGTGAGGCTCCGTTATGAGGGCACGTGAGGCTCCGTCATGTGGATGCGTGAGGCTCCGTCATGTGGGGACGTGAGGCTCACTGGCACCACGAACACACGCGCACACACACACAGTAACACCACACACTCAATACACACTTCTACCACAAACACACACACAGTAACACCATATACTCAATACACACTGGCACCACAAACACACACGCACACACACACAGTAACACCACACACTCAATACACACTTCTACCACAAACACACACACACAGTAACACCACACACTCAATACACACTGGCACCACAAACACACACGCATTCCCACACACACAGTCACGACACAAAAGAACATCAACACGCACAGATAAATGCACTCACGCATACAAATGACAAAGATCCCCCAATATTGCCTTGAACAGTGTTGGTGCAAGTGCTGTTAGTGAGCACCGGTTGTGGCGAGTACCGGTTGTGGCGAGCACCGGTTGTGGCGGGCACGGCACACGAGTGCGTGGGTGGCCAACACAACGCCCATCCGCCTTTGTCTCCCCATTGCTGATGTTCACACGTCGCGACACACGCGCGCACACAATCCCAAAGGGGGT